TATATATTTTATTTTCAATTTAATAAAAGTATACGCAGGGATTTAAAAAAAAATTACGTATAAATAGATAGATAGGTAGAAATAAAAAAGAAAAAGAAAAAAAAGAACTAAAAAAAGGGAAATTCCCATATCGTAAGTAGTACTATGATAACGAAGGAAGAGTTAATAACTTAGTAAACCACTCGTTGAACATTTCTCTCCTCTTAAAACGGCCTAACGAGGTACAACCAAGTATCCTTGTTTCGAAACTATCGAACATCATCCTATAAAGAGAGAGAGAGAGAGAGAAAGAGAGAGGGTTGTTCTCTCTTCTAAGTTTATCGAAAATTGCATGCTTTTCGTAAACGATTTTCTTTTCATTTTCTTTTCTTTTTTATTATTATCATCAGTTAATAAGATGACAGGATCTGTTAAGTATTCCTTTCTTTTTTCCTTTTACTTTTTTTTTAATTTAATTACAAGATTTGAATCATGAAAGGGGTTGAAGAGTTGAGAGTTTAGAATATATCAGGGTAAATACGTAATTTTATTTAAACGTGAATCGTACCGAAATAATTTAAATCGGCCGATTCGATGAAGGAATCAGACAATCTTCGTTTCATCTAATAAGAATAATCATAATTATCGGGGTGTGATTAGATAAATCATTTTATAAACAACAAGGAGAAAAAAATGTAACGAAATACGCCTACGCCGACGATGCAATCATTTTGTTTAAGGATTAATCACCGTGGGGAATTGCAGTTGTGTTTTCTATTTTTTTTCTTTTCCGTTTACTTTCTTCTTCACTTTTCGTTGTTTTACTTTTTCTTAAAACCACCACCACCACCACCACCACCACTCACCCCTTTTTAATCTTTTCCGTTTTCCTTTTTTTACATTTCTTTTACATTCTTTTCTTTTTTTTTTCTTGGTTAATTCTTTTCTTTTTCGGTATGTTTAACAATAATAATCGGTGCAAAAAAGTATGCGATACTTCGCGTGTTTCTTTTCGCTTATCCAGGTAAACACAGCCCATGTATTTCTAAACCACTGAAATTTGTTCCAGCATGCAAACCCGTGGGAGCATTTATATGCATGTATATGCAACAAACTATGTGCATTGTTGCAACGAAGATTGAAACTTCCCTTTTTTTTATTTTTTTTTTTTCTCGTCGTGTCGTTTCTTATTTTCATTTTGTTATTATTTCTTGGTTTTTATTTTCCATTTCTGTAATATTCTTCTTATTCTTCTTCTTCTACTTTATTATCCAAACATAATAAAAACGTGTGCAGAAACGTTTATCGTAGTTTTGTCTCACGGTGATTTGTTTCCTTTATTTTTTTTTTCTTTTAAGTTTTAAACTTTACGATTGTTTCTTCCTACGATGCAAATTGAACACGAGAAAAATAAACGCGAATATTTATTACAATTTCGTGATATGGAAGGGATGAACGAAGGCATCGTCGTGCAGATACGTAGGGATAATAAAAAAGAAAAAGAAAAAAGAAAAATAGGACAAGAGATGAAATATATATTATTATAATACGATACGAAAAATAATGGGGGAGGGGAAAGAAGAGAAAAAAAAGAAAAATGAAAAAGAAAAGTAGAAGACGAAAAAAAGAAAAAAAAAAAGAAAAAAAAAACATTGATTTACGATAACACGCGTGCTCGTCTCGTTCTGGTTTTGCGTGTCATTCGCTAACGATCGATACTGGAAGAAAATTTCTACGTTGATTCTTTCACAAGATATATTATATATACATATATATATATGTATATATATAATATATATGTATATATCTAACTTCAACTTAAACTTGAAAATTCTTATAGCGAATATTCAAGATAACATAACACATTTTCACGAGATAAATCCTAAAAAGATTTTCTTCTAAATCGTGTCTCGTTTCTTTCTCTCTCTCTCTCTCTTTTCATCTCTATCATTTTTCTCTCTCTCACTCTCTCTCTCTCACACTCTCACTTTCAACTATTTTCTACGAGTATTACTACTCACGTTTAAAAAAACTCGCGTAAGGATCGATAAAGTATACCGAGTTTAGATATACTCCGAGTTGATCGAACAGTAGGGGGTGGGTGGGTGGTAGTAAAAAAGGTGACGGGTAATTTCCAAGAAGGTGACGGAGGGAAAGCGGGGAAGGTAGAAAAAAAAAAAAAAAAAATACAAGAGTTAACATTGTTATCTGAGAAAATATTATAGAAAAAAGGGAATATTAAGAAAAATATTGTATTAAAAAGGGGATGATTTCGTGGAATCGATGAAAACACGTTTCGTGGAATGGGAGAAACACAACAAGCCTTTGGTTATTATCGCGATGATGTTTGTATACTCGTACATTTTTCATTCCTTCTTTGAAAGCGAGAAAAAAAAAAACACAAACACATGCATTATATGCACGTTACATATGCATATATGTAACGGAATGAGAGAGAGAGAAAGAGGGTAGGAGGGAAAAGGGAGAAAAGAGAAAATGAAAGTGATGAGAATTGTTAGGAATATCGAAGAACGATTTATCGTTCGATTATATCCGTTCCTCGTAAGCTCGCGGCTAAACAAGATGAAGAAGAAGATCGAAAGGGAAAGGGGTGGAAAGCACACAAAAAAAATGGGGAAGAAGAAAATTCGATCGAATCGAAAAGAAATAAAATTGTAACAAAAAATAATTACGGAAACAATATTACAAACGAAGGGGTCCGACAATTTGAACGGACAAGAAAAAATGGGGGGTGGGTGGGTTGATATTAATTAAACGAGAGAAAGAGAGAGAACAAAAAACCGATGATTAGTTTTAAAAGTAAAAAAAAAATGTTAGATAGGCGGCGTTAGTCACCATGGGGGGTTGGGTGATTAGGTGACAACGGGCGGCAAGTATGGTGCCGTTCTCATGGGGGTGAGTTTGTACGCTTTTAACAACAACAAAATGTCAAGTTTTTCATTCCGAAATATTTATCGAAAAGAAAATGAAAAAAGTGGGACGCCTAGGAACACTGGAAAAAGAAAAAAAAGATAGATAGATAGATAGATGGATAGATAGATAAATAGAGACAACTAGCAGGGATATTAGAAGGTGGGAGGGGGGCGGGATGGATAAAAAACAAAATGTTACTCCCATGAGACCGACGCTCCTTTGCTTTAATTAATTATATAGGCACTGCCAAGTTCTGCAACTCTAATCAAACGGATGAAGCCGGTCGGCACCAACCGGGCAATCATTAAACAAAAAAATTAAACAAAAAATAAATAAAAATAAAAAAAGGGTTCCAATCAAATTTTATTGAAAATTCTCGACGGTGGTTAAGGGACGCTCGTGTATG